CCCACCCTGCCCTCCGCCTGGGGAGGACGCCCGGCCGGGGACGCCCGGCGATGAGGTGCCCCCGGCCCCGCTGGGCGCCCGGGGCTCCTACACCCCAAAACTCGTCCAGGCCCGGCCCCCCAAGTGCTTCGACAAGAAGCTCAAAACCCTCCAGCAGCTGTGCGAGGAGCACGCCTTCAACCAGACCCTTGACCGGCTGCATCAGATTGAGAAGATGTTCAGGGGCGACGTGTGCTACCTGCTGATCAACCGGATCAGCCGAGCGCTCCTGAGGCAGCAGGCCTTTGCCGGGTTCCTCTTCGAAGAGGTGTCTCTTCTGGATGAAGGGCAGGCGGAAAGGCCGCTTGGAGTCTGCCAGGGACAGAACCCGGACCGTCCCGACGCCCCCTGCTTGGAAAGCTGCCTGAGTCCTGAATTGCTAGCCGACCTGGGGTCTTACAAATCCAGTGTGGAGTCGGTGCCTATTAAAATGGATCAGGAGATGGAAGACAGCCAAGATGCCGAGGCCCCCCACCCTCTCTCTTACGAGAACATTGAGCTGCTTGATAGAGACCTGAAAGGCAGCGTCAGCAGTGGCGAAAGCATTGAAGTTTTGGGGACGGAGAAATCGGCGACTGCCTCCGTGCCCTCTGAAAGTCAGCCTGCCTTGCTGCAGGTGCCCCCCAGCCCCCCCGCGGTGAGGAACAAAGCAGCCAGCAGCAGGACCATAAGCGGGGACAGCATCGAAGTCCTTAGTACCTGCCCCTCAGAAGCCCTGATTCCAGATGATTTCAAAGCAAGCTACCCAAGTGCCATTAACGAAGATCCTTATGGTGGCGAAGAAGATGAGGGCTTTCTCTTCAACCGCGTTTTAAATCTGGACAGTGCTGAAGAGGAGGCGGAAGACAACCCTGCGCCTGAAGCCCCCCCGGGGGACACTTCTTGCTGCATTGGAAAAGAGAGCCCGAACTTTCTGGAAGGTCAAGCTAACGTGCCTCCCAAACCCGGCGATGACGACGGCGTGGTCAGCATCCCCCCGCAGCCATACAGGCCGGGTGATGTGGGGTTTCAGATGAACTTCGCAGACTACTCCCATGATGGGGTCTTGGGAGGCCTCCTTGCCTATGAACTCGATCCTCATTACCTCTCAGGCGGCCACGAAACCAGCAAAATGACCCTGGAGAAGTGCTCGGATTCCACGAGCTACATTAGCAGCACGGCGTCCACCAACTCCGACGGAACTCCTTCCCCCGCTGCTCTTGTCGGAGAACGGTCCAAGAAGGCCGGGCAGAGCGCCTTGCGCTTCATCCGGCAGTACCCCTTTGCTCACCCTGCTATCTATTCTCTGCTGAGTGGGAGGACCCTGGTGGTGCTGGGGGAAGACAAGGCAACGGTCGAGAAGCTCATAACTGCCCTCTCCATTTTCGTCCCCAACTGCGGGGCGTACGCCAAGCCCGTGAAGCACTGGGCCACCTCGCCTTTGCAGATCACAGACTTTCAGAAGTGGAAGCTGGTTGGGCTCCAGAGGTAACATTTCAGCCACTTGTACCTTCCCCTGAGGGAGGTTCCTTGCAGAACTTCAGCTGAGATGGGGCATTTCACTCACCAGATCACATCATGGAAAGAATTGCCAAGCGTGCCCCCCGACTCCGTCTCTGACCTTGCCATGTTGAGTGGCAAGGCCTGAAGTGGGTCTCTGTTGGTATTGGATGGAGATGGCTGTACCGGGCAGTGAGTTGTGGGAGTCGAGGGTTGGGGTGGGTTGGTGTTTTCATCCCCCTTATACATGAGTAAATATCCTGTGACAATTGGTTTGAAAGACGTTCTTTACCTAACACTTGATGTTCATAAAGGAAAGGGAAGGTCTGTCAAGAGCTGGGTCTGGTAAGCTGCCGTGAGAAATAGGGCTAGACTGGAGCAGGGTGGGCAACCTGTTGCTCTCTGGCAGAAGAAGTCTGGTTGGCAGAGCTGTGCAGTGCTCAGCGTCTTTTCTCCTGCCAACCAGTCGATCAGCTGACTGGAAAAGAAGAGATTGCCTGTTTCTCATGTCTAACCACAGTCGTAGGAGAAAGGGGAACACGCAGTTCCTCTCTTGCAGTTGTGCTGGAAATCACCAATAACTTCCTCAGATTTCAGATGTTGGTGGACATGGCCCAACAGATTTGAACCCGCAAGCTCATTATTTTATTTATGTAACTAATTTATGTGGACACCTCTATTAACTAAGGAAGGGAGGCAAATTGGATCTCTGTTTCCTCTCCTAACAAAGACCTGGGATATGGGGCAGAGATTAGATAAGGGGATTTATTGTTAAAATGCAATAAAGTATCCTTGTTTATCCAAGATTTCCCAAGAAAGTGGGTTAGAGAAGGGCAAACATGCCTGTAAAATCCTTTTTAAAAAGGGCATGCAGAGTGTTTTAAAAGATTGCTCCTTCTTTTAGCCGCTTCATGGCGTCTCAACGGCAGTTTAGCCTTCCGACATCCCCATTTGCATCCGTTTCTTCTTGTCTTTCCAGGTCAACTTCTCCAGGTGGCCCCAACATGATGCACTCTCTCAGCCGGTACAGTCGCTACATCAGTGTGCTGGACGCAGACCACAAGACTCTCCGCTGCCCGCAGTACCGGGGAAACCTGATCCTCCGTCTGGCGGATCACCGTACCCAGATCAAGCGGGGGAGCACCTACTATGCGCACGTCCAGACCATCCTCACCCAGCTCTGCTCCAAGGCCTTTCTCTATGCTTTCTGCCATCACCTGCACCTCCCCATCCGAGAGGGAGAGACGGAGGACTCTGTCACAGCGCGGCGGGAGAACTTCTTGAAAGTCCAGCTGGGTCTGGCCAACGAGGACAGCAAAGTGGTCCAGTATCTTGCTGAGCTTCTGAAATTGCAGTATATTCAGGATCCCATCCGGGGGATTAGCCCAGTGCTCAGGTTTGATTATGTGCCCAGCTCTTTGTACAAAATTTAGGTGGTGTCCAGCCTGCCCTGCCACGCCCCTCCTCGCCCAACGTTCCTCTGTGGCTATTAGCAGGCTTCCAGGATTCCCTGGCTATCCCGTGAGTCTGTGGGAATCCTGAGAACGATATTGATTAAAGTAAGACTCCAGACATCTCACGCCACTGTCAGGCTGCTCTTAAAAGGCAGGAGAGTGACATCTGTACAGAGGAGTGCCCCTTGTACGTGGTGGGCATTGTGGGTTTGAGAAAGCTGTGATATAATATTTGTGAGTGAGTTCTCTCAGTGGGGTCTTTTACAAATTGGTGGGATTCTGGGTGAATGCGGTAGAATTTGTGCTTGTTTCCCCCTCCCCAAGTGGAACTTCTAAGGAGATCCTATCTCAGATGCATCTCCTTGGATGTGGGATAATATGCCAACTAATTTTGTTATTAGTTGGACAGCTGGCTGTCACTTTTGAAATGAAATGCCTGGTTGGTTTTATTTCCCTTTTGCAAGCGTAGGACAGTGTTCTGAAACTGAAGTTTCTGATTTGCAGAGGAAGCTTCAAGGGTGAATTACAGGTGCTAGTTCACTGCAAACCACCCTTTAGCCATAGATTTGGGGCAGACATGCTCCATACTAGCACAGCAACAAAGAAGAAAATTTGTACAAGACCAGGTAGCCCAGATGGAAAGTTAGGTTTCTGGGTCTATTTAAGAGACCCTAAAACTTGCCTGCTTGTGACCCCCATCTCTAAGAGTTGCTTAGAAAGCATCTAGTTCAGGGTTTTTCAACCTTGGCAACTTGAAGATGTGTGGACTTCAGCTCCCAGAATTCCCCAGCCAGCATCCATACATCTTCAAGTTGCCAAGATTGAGAAACGCTGATCTAGTCATTTAGGCACCAAGGTGTTTGCAGAGGGCATCACTGACTTTAGGAGACTGGAACTTGAGAGCCAGGTGGATCTGCCACCCCAGGACCATCAACCCTTTTGAGAGCAATCTGGAGTTGCTTCTGCAAACAAGTAGAACTTGCATGAACTGAACTGGTGCTGGCTGACCTGCAGCTGTAGTACTTGTAGATGTAGCGCAGCCCGTCCGGGGGTCCGTGGAGAGAAAAGGCTCCCCTCCCCGAGAATCTTCCTCTCCTCTTCCTGCCAACTCCTGCGCTGTCTCTGTCTGTTCCCTGCCGATGCTGTCACTTTCCACACAGCTTTTCTCATCCCTGCATGTTTGCTTTCTGGTTTGTCCCCAGAACTTTTGCATAGGCAGCAGTTAGGAGAAAATAAAAATTGGGAGCCTTCAAAAAAATCCAGGCAGCCTTCCACACGTTCGTGCTATTACTGAACAAGAACTGGATGAAAGTGTATTCAACACCATGATTAAAAAAAAAGCAAAGTGTATATTTAAAAAAGGAAATTATTTATTTGGGCGCAGATATTTTTGAAATACAAATATATATATAGTTGTATTTTTTAAAGCTTATATAACCCTTGCACTCGTGGTAAAATTCTTAATTTTATTGTGCTTAGTAAAAACTGTCCTGACTGTATGTTTGGGCTCGTGCGTCTGGTACAATGGGGACAACTGTTGGTGGTGGGAAGATAAAGGCAAGTGGAGAGAAATCTGTGTCAAATAGGTTGCTCAATTTGTTATTAAAAGTGCCCTTTTCTTGAATGGCACATCTACTTTTTGGAAACTGAGAATATAAACCATGGGATAAACTCAGGTGTGCAAGAGAAAAAAAGTCACTGTGTTGTTTGGCTTCCTGCATTCCTCCATGATCAACCACAAGGTTTCCTGGGAGGGTTCCAAGGTGGCATCAAATGGAGGACCGTCTCCTGCTCAAGCCATAGCCATCCGTGTCAATTGTGGCAATAAATTCTGTAACTTAATGCAATACAGTTTGAAGAATAGTTTTTTCCCCCCTAAATGGCCAGCTTCTCTCCAGAATTTCTGTAGAAGAGAACCTGATGCTTGTCCTGCACCATCAACGGATTTATTTTTTTTCTGGCAAGTGGTCCAGGTAGCATCTTCTACTCATGCACCTTCTACACAATTCTGCTATTTCCTCCTTTTCTTCCCAGATAAAAATAGTGGTGAAAGAGCAGTAGCTGGGACAACCCCGTCTGGAAGGACTGAAATGAGTGTGAAAACTTTTCAAGCAGACCTGCAGAATTCATTTCAAAATTGCTGATGCTGTCTGTCTGCTGATTCAGACTAAAAAGCGGAGCTTTTCCTCAAAAGGTCAGCTTCAGGGCCAACAATATTGAACCCCATGAAAATTCGGGCCTGCTCCGTTTGAGACTCATTTTTGGTGTTGATTTGAGTTAGATTTGAGGGAAGCTGGAACATAAATCTTGCCTCCCTCCCATTTAAAACCAGTTTTATCTTTCCTAAGAGGATCTCGTATTAATGGGATTTCACTCCGCAAGAAAGGGTGACCACTCTCTTAGGGCCTGTCCAACCACACTGCCAGTGGGGACCCTGAGGTGTCATTAATTGTTCCAGCGACTGAGGTGGGTGGGTGCTAAACTTTGTTCTGTTTTCCTCCCAGGTCTCTAATCTTTTCCAGTGTATTTTTCTTTTTAAAAAGCGGGGAGGAAAGAATTGCTTAAAAAGCTGATTATAAAAGCAGAGCCTGCTTGTAGGCCGAGCAGAGGGGGAAAAAGACAGGGGCAGTGGGGGCTCCCGTTCCAGATGTGGCTTGGTGCTCCTTTACAAAACAGGCAAGCCTGGGAGCGGGAAGGTATCTGCGAAGGCCTCCACGTCCTCCTTGAGGGACCTCAATGGCCCTTGATATTTCTGCTCTGTCACCAGCTTCTCTTTGAACTCCTTCAGGGTAGCTTTGGGGCTCATATCGTTCTGGACCTGCAAGGTGATTTCTATACCTGTATGGGGAAGGCAGACATCTGGGTGAGCTTAACCATCTAATTGAAACAGATACTAAAAGAGAAGAAAAGGACAGCAAAAACCCAACGATGAATAATACGGCGTGGTAAATTTGGAAGGTTGCCCAATGCAACCCGGTTGAATGAAGGCTCTGTAAGGCAGGAGGCAAGGGTGGCCCTTGTTCAGTTGGCTGGACTTTGCCTCAGTAATTCCAGAGAAGGGGACCCCCCACTTCCCAAAGGAGTCTGTTCTGTTCAAGAAACTCTCGCTTCTTGGATGTTCCTCTTGCTTCACAGCTGAAGTCTGTACATTTGCTCATGGGGTCCAACTACTGCTTTGCAGATATTCACAGACCACAACCAGGGAGTTCTTTCATCTTCCTCTCTTCTCCCCTCCCTCTCCCCTCCCTCTCCCTCTCTTCCAGGTTCTCGAACAGTTCCATTAAAGCACTTCATTCCCCCCCTTCATTCCTGGGACTGGCAGAGCGACTCAACCGCTTAGCCTGGGAAAGCAAAGGTGGAAGAGGGCGGGCAGATGTGCATGAGGGCCACCCACCTTTGTGAATAAACTGAGCGACTTTCTTGAAGTCTTCTTCCAGGAATCCTCTGGAGGTGAGAGCTGGAGTCCCTAATCTCAGCCCGCTGGGGCGCAGAGCACTTTTGTCTCCTGCGAGGAGGGGAAAAAAATGGGGATTAGATTGCAGGAAAGAAAGCCGGCCAGCGCTCTTTGGGGCTTTAGGGAGATGTCGATGGTGCAGCCTTTCCTGGCCTTCCTAGCAGCCGCGCTTCGTGACTGCCTTTCGGTTCTGAAAGCCGCCATGAATGTTAAACTGACTTTAATACAACCATAGCTGTATTCCAACTCCCCTTGTGGCTATTGGCGTGGGGATGCAGGATCCTGACTTCCAGATTCTGTTGATCTCCCAATTCCCATCTCCAACCAGCACAGCCCCCAAAGGATGGGAGTTGGAACTGCCAAAGCTGAGGTCCAGGTTTCTTGCCTGCAAGGCCTGGAGTCAGTCCTAGCCATTGCATTGTTTTCCCGGTGTAATCAAACGCAAGTAGATGGCACCAACCAACCGCCACCGTTGCTCGTAAGGCCCAAAGCTAGCAAAATCCCCCCTGCCGTGGGTGTATTTCCCCACCCCAAGCACCAGAAGCGAGTCCCATCTGTTGAGCCCCGCGGACTCCTTCACCTGGACAGGTGTTCTTGTTGCACGCGATGGAGCAGAGCTCCAGGACCCGTTCAGCTCGTCCCCCGTCTGTGCCCCGGTTGCGCAGATCGACGAGGATCAAGTGGTTGTCGGAACCCCCTGCAAGGAGAGCCGAAACAACAACGGCTGAATTGTGCCAAGAAGAACCACTCTCCTGCGGAATCCTGCACGCCTCGTACAAGAAGCCAGTGGAGAACTATGTATTCTTCATGCTTCATAGAAGAAGCCAGAGGACTACATGCCTAACAGCACAATCCTGATAGACAGACATTTATTCTGAAATAAACCTCGCACAATGAGGAAAATGTCTCGCAGAGCATTTTCTTACCAGTGACGACGTGATATCCCAAGCTGGTGAGAGCGGTCGACAAAGCTTTGCAGTTGGCCACCACCTGCTGTTGGTACGCCTTGAATTCGGGAGTCATGGCCTGTTTCAAGGCTACGGCGATTCCTGTCCCAGCCCCCCAAGAGTGGACGATGGATTAAGCGGTGCCTCTGTACCACACAGCCCCTGGGGGAAATGCCCTCCCAGGCTGAGGGTTTGAAAAGCCTCCTGGTCATAAGGAATGACGTTTGCAAGCCCTCGTGCAGAGAGCTAAAGGTCCTGAACTCAAAGGAAGTGGGCAAGAAAACTTTGACCAAGACTTCTTCCCTGCTCTCAGTTTTCAGGATGTGAATTCATCTTTCTCTAAAGTGGAACTCACCTGCAATCGCATGATTGTGAGGCCCTCCCTGGAGACCAGGGAAGACTGCTTGGTTGATTAAACTTTCCAGGTTGTACAGGATCTCCTTTCCAGTTTTGGGGTCCACGCTGCGGGGACCTGGAGAAGGGAAGAAGGGTGGTAGGAAGACACCGGGCGCCTCCCCGTCTTCTCCGTGGGTTCCAGCCCTGCAGGATGGACAACTGGCCCCCTGCCCTTGCAGGAAAGAGCTCCTGCTCGTTTCAACGCTCACCCTTCCGATAGAAGATCATGCCAGCCCGGCAGCCCCGCAGGGTTTTATGGGTGGTGGTCGAGACGATGTCACAGTGCTGGAAGGGGGAGGGCACCACGCCGGCAGCCACCAAGCCACTGATGTGGGCCATGTCAGCCATGAGGTAAGCGCTATTTTCATTTGCAATTTTCCTCATCCGGGCATAGTCCAAATTCCGCGAGTAGCAGCTGACCCCTAGGATGGAAGGCTTAGTAGAAGGGGTCTGGGGCTGCACGGAAGGAGATGCAAACAGGGTCCTGGGGTGGCTTCTAGGATGTTCCTCCTGGGGTGGAAGCCCCGCACCCCCAGGAAAATGAAGAGGACCGTTTCCCCCTCCTCTGCTCCTTTTTCCTGGCTTTCACAACTCTCTATTCCCCAAATGTACTCCTGTCAACTTTGGTCCGCTAGCGGGACAATTCTGGACCCGCGTACCTCATACAAGAGAAGCGCAAACTGGGAACGGGTGCCCAGGCCCAAGCAGATGGCCTCTCTCTCTGGGTCTGAGTAACCCTGGGGGTGGGGGCAGGAGCCTCACCTGCAATGATCAGCTTTGGATGAAACAGGCGGGCATTTTCCTCCAGTTGATCATAGTCAATGTAGCCTGTTTCGGGGTTGACCTGAAGCCAAATAAAGAAGTCAAGGGTGATGCTTTCCAAATGGGGAGGAGGGGGAGGGCATGCCCAGCCAGGAAAGGCTCACGGCAAACATGCACAGGCTTCTGTTTTGCTTCTAGTCAGATGCCCCCCTCTTTCACCAGAAGAGGAGTGGGCGATAATGAACTTCACACCAACTGTGAGCCAATTTCCCACACGCAGGTCTCTCGGGTGTGGAACGGAGCTCACCTTGTAGGGCATGGATTCGAAGAAGATGGATGTGGCGGAGATTTTCTTCTTGTCTGTCATGAAGCCGTGGGTTAGGTGACCCCCATCAGGCAGATCCAAGCCCATTATCCTCCCATGGGGCTCTACCAGGGCGGTGTAGACTGCAAAGTTGGCAGGGGACCCTGAAACAGAACGACACACAGACAGCTGCAGCAAGCAGTTTTCAAATTCTGACCAGTCTGGTGAAAAGAGCAGTATTATGCCCGTATTGATCTGCCACTGATCAGCAGGATATTCACGCAGCACAAGGGAAGAGTTCGCGTTCTCCAGAATAATCACCAAAACTTCTTGTTCTCCCCTCTTATACCCTACAGCTTCCTTGGGAGGAATGAGAAACTTCCTTTTTCTTGCAACTGTAGGGGAGGACTGACTTTCCTTCAGTTCCCCTACTGATCATGACTCTCCCAGAGTTGGATTTGCACATCACACTGAACCACCCTAAGGCTTCTTTCATCATGGTTAGTGTCTCAGGTGAGCCCAGCCAGTGCGGTTGGCAAACCAGGGTTGATAGATTAGCATCTTGTTCAAGCACAGCCAATGGCTTTCACTCAATAAACCATGGTCCCCTGGGACACATGAAGCCTGTCATTAAATGCATCCACTCATTGAATGCAACATCTGGATGGCCCCTAAATTTTCCTCCCATAGGAGCCTATGTGGGCCAGAAGGAAGAACGCAGCCTCGGGAAAGAAATCTAAGTCTGCTTCGGCAACCTTGCTGTTCATTGCTGGAATCTGTAAGGCTGGAATTTGACAGAGATCCCCATTTTTTTTCCTTCCAGTTGCCTTCCCAAGTGAAGAATAGCTTAGGAGTATTATCATTTACCAAGAGCCATCAATGCATGTAGAATTTTATAGGACATAGGAGGAATGATCCCTGCTCAAGGGGGTTGCAATTTCTATCAGTTTCCCATAGAGGAGCCTCACCAATCCATAGCATTTTACAGTCAATTCCACAAGAGCTCACGAAATACCTGAGTAGGGCTGGACGTTGACGCCCCACTTCTGTGGGTCTAGCCCGAAGGCCTCCAGAGCTCTCTTCTGACAAAGTCTTTCCAACTCATCGACAAACTCCGTCCCACCATAATATCTAACAAAAAATCGATGGAAGTTTTAGACAGTGTTTCTCAACCTTGGCCACTCTAAGATGTGTGGACTTCAACTCCCAGCATTCCCCAGCCAGCATAGCTGGCTGGAGAATCCGGAAGTTGAAGTCCACACATCTTAGAGTGGCCAAGGCTGAGAAACACTGCTTTAGACACACATTTGGAATACGTGTATCTAGGGAGAGAAATCTCTTTTAACAGCCATCCTTTTTATTCCACAGCTGAGCCAGACCACACAACCGTACTGAACAGGCTGCATAGCCATATGCAAACCATGTTTTCAAAAACATCCTTGGGAAGCCATCTGTCGAGACTACACACCTGCAGATCTCACGATCATGATACCCATTAACATGTCGCATTCTGACCCCCACCCTCCCAACAATGTGGCCAATAACTCTGGAAACTCCCTCCCAAGGTAGACCAATGCCACGTTATGAAGCCAGGTTATCTGGAGCTTTAGTGGCTTATAAATGTCAGTGCCTCCTTCTATCAGCTGAAAAACTGCTTATTCCCTCTCCAGGTTCCAGAAGGGTGCATTGAAACTCGGTGGCAGGGTGGGAGGGAGTAATGTGCAAAAGAATTACACGGTGGAAGGACTGTTCCTTTTTAAATTAGGGATTTAATTTTGGGGAGATGGTTGTATGACGTCGTAAGGCACCCTGAGATCTTACAGGAGAAAGGCAATTACAAGAATAAGAACGATTGATTAAGCTGGTCTGCCGCCCAGTTGTCAATGATTCTGGGCAGCTAAAAACAAAGAAATTACAATAAAATGAATATAAGCTAAAAGATGGCAAGTGTGATGAAACGAGGGGCTTTCCTCTCCCTTGTCAAAGGCCTGGGTGAAGAAGCAGGTTAGGGTTAGGTTAGGGTTCTTCTAAATAAATGCATAACATATAAATAAAATGGGTGGGGTGGGAAAAAACAGGCTGCCTCTGGCACCCCCCATTAACAGGCCTTGCGTTCACAGGGAGATGCAGGCCGGGGGGCCTGGTATGGTCAAAGCGTCTTCACCCCAAGACCCTCTTTTTCTTCCCAGCCCCACCTTTGCCCCGGATATCCTTCCGAGTATTTGTTGTTCAGGCAGGAGCCCAAGGCCTCCAGCACGGCTCGGCTGGCAAAGTTTTCAGAGGCGATCAACTCCAGGCCAAGTCTCTGACGCCGCTTCTCCTTCTTGATAATATTGTAGACCTGGGTGGGAGGAGACAAAGGGGCTGGCTGGAACGGTGTCCTGCGGCTTGTTTGGGGTGGGGGGTGAGGAGGCAGTGGGCTATGCATGCATAGCCCCCCCGTAGAAAGGAGGTTCCCCTCCACAAATCCACGCAGGTTTAATTCCCCAGCTGACTCAAATGTCAACAGCTCCTCAACCCACTGCAATCCGAAGCACGTGGACGTAAACGTAAGCTCCAACTCACTTAATCAACTTGTTTCGAACTGCGCTCTAAAATAACTGGGTGTCGGCTCTGATTAGTACCAATGAGCAGAAAGGATATAGCACGTCTCGAGCGTGCCAGACGCTTCAGATTTTTAAGTGCCCCTGGATCCATATCCTCCTACATACAATAACAGCTCATCTTGCTTTACAGTGGCGGCTGCCTTGAATATCTGGATTGATCCGTTTGCATGTTCTCTTTGTAGGATCACAGTAAATATTTTTGAACCTCCCTTGTGAAAGATTACTGAAGCACAGGCACACGTTCCCTGAGCGAGTAAGTTACAGCAATTCAGGAAGGTAAGCCAATATTCCTGTTACCTTCTTCACGGAGGGCCGGAGGGTGAGAAAGGAGGCGTTCCCCGGAGCCGCCCACTTGAGCTGCAGCACCAGCCACGCTGGAGCGCATCCCAGGCTGTTTACTCAAGGGAGCGCAGGCAATCGATTGCAACAAACCGTCTTTGGAACAGGCTGTCCTCCCTGCTCTCAGTCCCTGTGCAAGGTTGAAATGTGTCTCAACCTGAAACAGCTGACCCGGCTGAAATCCTCCAAACGAACGTCACACCACCGAAGTCAGTGGCCTCCTCCCTCCCGGATCAATACAGACTCCTCCTGGTTGAGGTCACTGGCCGAAGAAGCAGTGAGTGACCTACCTCGGGGTCACCGTCGTCCAGGGCCTCCATCACCATCTTGTTGTGAGAGAGCCAGAGCTCCCGAGGGATGTGGTCTCCACTGGCGTTCGTGCTGGCCATGGCAACTGGGATTTCTAGCAGCCTGCCGAGAAAACCCAGAGATTTCTCAAAAAAAGCCGAGTCGAAAAGCTTTCGGGACTTTTCCTGGCTACCAGGCGGGCCCCGTGGGGCTCCAGTTAATCTTCAAACTTGGTTTTGTAACAACACACAATGCGGCACCTTCCGAGGTATTTTGCAACATGGAACAAAGTCAGTGTTCTGTTGCCGCCCTTGAAAAGGAGTGCCTCGGCCTGTGCATTTAAGCAGTGATTTAAGCTCGGGGGGACGGGGGGGTTGGCTCTTCACAGGAGGCTGCAGTTATAAGACAGGCACCGATGCCAACCAGCTAAAGCATGCAGGAGGGGCGAGGGGGAGGTCTGCAGCCGCGGTTGCGAAGTTGTGGCTTTGTCCCCTAAGCAGTGGCCAGATTCACACACCACGCCACGCCACGCCACCAAGGGCGGTTTGCCTCCGGCGTCGCACTCGATGACCGGCCGAGCAACTCCCCATCAGGGTCGAAAACTCTCCCGAAGAGGCTGCCTAGGCCAAGAAGGGGCTGCCTTTGCCAACTGTCCCAAGTGATTCATTAACTCCCCAAGGGGAGCAGAAGCCTCGGGAGGGAGAGCTCCCTGCCCTGGTCAAATACCTCAAGCCCGTGATGCAATCCTGCCCAGCGACAAGCTCTCCCACCCCTCCTGTTTACCAACTGGGGGAGAAAGTGGCTTGCGTGCCTGGGGCCGCAGCATTTAACTTTCACCGGCCTTGAGCTGGGGGCTTGGATCAAGCTTTAGGCCAAAGAATAATTAGAAAATGCTCTGGCATTCTGGCTCCATCTGCCTCCAGCTCAGT